GTGAACACAACACACACCTGGTTAATTACACTGGGCTGTGAACACAAATTTTATTTTGAAAAGACGCCTAGTGAGTTGAAACTGACACGCTGTCCTTAACACGTCCAAAATATCCAAAATAGACATTAGAGGGGAACCTAGAGCGTCATAGTTTGACACACAGGGCATTATTTGCCCTGTGGCATTATTTGATGACTTGTAACTGTCGTTTGATTGTTTCCTCTGCTGAACTTTTAAAATGCTAAATGACGAGTTCAGGCTTGAGCTGAGTAGCTCATCTTCTTGGCTCCAGAACACGTTTCACCTCTCTGAGAAGCAAACTGTTCTTGTGTCTGTTCAGACCGTAAGAAACGATAAATCATCGGGATGCTGTTCATGTTGAGGCTGTAATCAATTTAATTCAAATACTCTCCTGCACATACAATCAGCTACACTCCCAGCATGCTCTGCTTCTCCTGCTGCTCAGCCAGCCATGGAAATGTCTTGTTTGGGTTTGAAGGCAGCAACTGTTTCCAAAACACACAAGTCCTCGAGCAGCATGTCTGACCTCCAGAGATCTGCAGAGAGCTGCGTCAGTATTTGTATCTGGAGACTGGAATGAGTTAAATACTCAGTCTCCATGGGTTCAGTGTGATACTGTATGAAGGCTCCTCCCTCAGGGGGCTGTTGCTTTTACTTTCATGCTGCTGATGAAGAAATGAAAACTGAAAACAGTTTCACATAAATACTCAAGTTCTGTCCAAGTTCATGGTCCCCTGCTTTGATACTGCTGACGCCCAGAACAGAACTGTAGCCAGGATTATAGAAGTACTGAGGTCAGGAGTCTGAGGTCCCCCACTGTGCCCACACGAGTCTGAGGTCCCCCAATGTGCCCACACTGACCGGAAGAAATGTTTCACTCCTTTTATTTTTTCACATTTTCTATATTTATATAGAGTGATGTTTTTGCATGTTGATCTAAATGATGTAAATTCTGCTTCAAAGCGTTGCCCTCAATGCCAGGATAAAATTTTAGTGTAAAAAATACAACATTTTAATTTAAGTTAAAAACTGTTCAGCTTCAAACACTCACAATGTGAAGTTTAAGTGTAACTGTAGAATGTTTAAATCCTCCTCAGGGGCAAACGACAGCCACTCACAAGTTGTAGCTAAATTGGCAGGTGCTAAAATACTCACAATGACAATGAATGGTACATTGTTTACCATGTTCACTGTCTTAGTTTAGCGTGTTAGCATGCTAACCTTAGCTAATTAAACACAGAGCACAGCTGATGGAATGTCATAAGATTTGCAGGTATTTGGTCATAAACCAGACAAATGTCTGAAGCAAACATCGAGACGATCGATCCAATAGTTGTTGAGATGAACTCATATCTACAAATATTAAGCTCATGGTGGGGTTTAGGGAAAAGTCAGGTGATCACCAAATTCAGAAGGATGAATCATCGGAGGAACATGAATGTTTTCTAAATCTCAACCTGTTCAACAGTTGTGAGATATTACAGTCTGGACCAACATGGTGGACTGATGGACAGGCCCATCAGGAGTCTTTGTGTTTGTGTCTCCTGATGAATGGAAGTCCACTACTCTCTCTCTAAGCTCTGTGTTTGGTCTCCAGCACCTCCTGAAGGAAACATCTGTGTCTTTAGCTGCTAAATGCTCCATTATGTTCACCAGCTCGTCTCTAACTGAGTCTGTAGTTCCTCTAACGTTCACTAGTTGCTGCCCAAATAAACTCACTGACTGAATGTGAAACCCCCGTCATGAGTAAGGTACAAAGACCTTGGCGGAGGGAGACTCACCATCCTGGATCCTGCCTGCCAGAGCCTCTGAGCTGAAGCCAGCAAACACCACAGTGTGCACTGCACCAATACGGGCACACGCCAACATGGCTGCCACCGCCAGCGGTGACACCGGCATGTAAATGGCAACCCTGTCCCCCCTTTGGATGCCATGGCTCTTGAGGGTGTTGGCGAGACGGCAGGTTGTCTCCAGCAGCTCTCTGATGGACAGACAATAGATCACTGAGGCTGGAGATGACTATGATATCTTTACTGTCCCTAAAAATACATTTTACTGGAGGAAGAAATAAGAAACCTCAAGGAGAGCAACATCACTTGTACTCAGACATATTGTGTCACATAACTTATACCACAGCAACTTTGATGTTTCTTCATCCTGATTGCCATCTGCAACCGTAGTTATTCATTAAGCAACTTGTGTGACTGTTAAAACTTTACGAGCTGAATGTATGTCTTTTGCACAGACTATAATACATTACATTCCTTTGTATTTATGGTCTGAGATAGCTGAGGCCAACACACTATAATGATAAGATAAAGATCAGTGTCGTCTGCATAGAGGGACAATACAGCTATAGAGAGGTGGAGTCCCTCCGCCTCCAGTGGAACAACAGGACCTCATTAGTAGTTAACAACGAGAGACAAAAACGACGAGAGATTTAAAAACTATTTGTCTGTCATCGTTGGCGAGCAGCCCCGGGGTGGACACCCGGGGGGGGGGGGGGGGGGGGGAGAGTTCATACCTGTAGGTAACCTTCACCTCAGTGCCGGGTTCGTCTCGCTCCCATATCAGAGCCACTCGGTCAGGATGCTTCTCGACATGGACATCCAGACAGTTCACTGAGACACAGAGAAACATACAATTATCAGACTCCACAGTGTTTGGGGGAGAAGAACATGTCAACTTCTTGACATGTGAAGGTTTTGGCGGCAACTAGCGGTGAGGTTGCACACGGTTCCTTTCAGGGAAAACAAAAAAACAATCAAGTTCTATAATGAATAAAGAGAATAAAATAAAAACCATGTGAGGTAAAACCTGGACAGCGTAAGATTAGTCAATTATTTAATTAGCTGCTCAACAGAAAATTCATTGTGAAATACTTTGATAATCAATGAATCATCAAGCACAAATAACAGTCACTGTCAGTTTCCAGCTGCTCCGATGTGAGGATCTGCTGTTATTGTCAGTCAGATATCACCGTCTATTGATTGCATTTGAATTCTTTGGACTGTTGGTTGGAACAAAATAAACATTTGACACTTGGGCTCTGAAAAAAGTTCACATTTTATATATAAAACAATTAATAAATGAATCAAGAAAGTAATTATCAAATCATTTGATAATAAAAAATATATTAAGTTAAGTTCACAAGAAACTTAAAAAAAGATAAAAGTGTTTGTTAATGTGTCGGTGAGAGACTGACTGCTGGAGCCTCAGTGTGTGAATCACAGGTTAAAGGACAGACAGTAGACCCTCGTCTCCCCTGTGCTCTGCAGTAACATCACTGATATCCTGTATATGTCGTGTTGAACAGTAGGCTACCATAAACGCGTGTCATCATCCGAGTCATGTTGAAACTGATGCCGATGGAAACCGGCTTAATTTATTCACTGATTGAAAATTAATCCTAAAACGGGTTTAAGACTGAAGATCCTGTTTGTGTCTCATGCAGCAGGTTCATAAACATCATTTATGTAACAAGAGAAAAGTCCTCCTGTGTCTGCTCTCGTACCACGCAAAATATCCAGCTGTCGTATTGGAATGTAACTGGATTATTATCAGGGACAGAAAAACAACAGAAAGAGGGACAAAGACACAACACGCTCACTGCAGAGACAGTTTATATATACTGCTGTCTCTATATACTGTTATATACTGACTGTCTCTATATACTGACTGTGTCTATATACTGACTGTCTCTATATACTGTTATATACTGACTGTTTATATACCGACTGTGTTTATAAACCGACTGTGTTTATATACCGACTGTGTCTATATATACCGACTGTGTTTATATATACTGACTGTGTTTATATACTGACTGTGTCTATATACCGACTGTGTTTATATACCGACTGTGTCTATATATACTGACTGTGTTTATATACCGACTGTCTATATACCGACTGTGTCTATATACTGACTGTGTCTATATACCGACTGTGTTTATATACCGACTGTGTCTATATACCGACTGTGTTTATATACCGACTGTGTATATATACTGACTGTGTTTATATATACTGACTGTGTTTATATACTGACTGTGTTTATATCCTGACTGTGTCTATATACTGACTGTGTTTATATACTGACTGTGTTTATATACCAACTGTGTCTATATACTGACTGTGTTTATATACTGACTGTGTTTATATATACTGACTGTGTCTATATACTGACTGTCTCTATATACTGTTATATACTGACTGTGTTTATATACCGACTGTGTCTATATACTGACTGTGTTTATATACCGACTGTGTCTATATACCGACTGTGTCTATATACCGACTGTGTTTATATATACTGACTGTGTTTATGTACTGACTGTGTTTATRTACTGACTGTGTTTATATATACTGACTGTGTTTATGTACTGATTGTCTATACAGAGTATTTTTACTGTGGTATCAGTACTTTTATTTAAAACAAAGAATTTCTACACAGTGTATTAGTACTTTAACTAACAGAGTACACTGTGGTATTAGTACTTTAACTTCTAACAGAGTACACTGTGGTATTAGTACTTTAACTTCTAACAGAGTACACTGTGGTAGGCTATTAGTACTTTTACAGCAGTGACATATCTGAGTACTTCTTCCTGTTTCTTCCATTACTTGAAGCTTGTGTCACTTTGTTGAAGTAATACCGGAAGTGATCGATGAAAGAACATATGGATTATTGATAAGCGATCCGTTCATCGGATCATTTCTCACCGGACACGTTGAGCTTCCCTCCCAGGAACCAGCAGATCTTCCCGCTGCTGAGATCGCAGTCCTGGACCCGGTCAAACGGTTTCACCCAGCGGAGTCTGTCTGCGGCGGCGGATCCCCAGAACTGATCCGGATCCGTGATCGAGACCCGGTACAGATCCCGGTGGGACAGCCGCGACAGCCGGGAGCTCCAGGTTCCCGGTGGTGGTGGTGCAGACAGGGAGGAAACCCACCTCTGTTGTCCCGGTCCGGTCCTGGTCTGAACCGGTCCCGGGGTTCTGCAGGTTCTGCAGCGGCTCAGGAGGGTCCTGAAGAGTCCGGTGCTGCAGCTGCTGTGAGCAGCCATGTTGATCTGCGGTCAGAAGAGTCCTGAGCCTCTCACCTGTTCTCAGGTGTGAACGGTCACGTGACTGTTCGAACCAATAAACCGTAAGGTCGTAAAAGATGGAAAGAGTCACAACTAGTTTAGTTCTGAGTGAGAAGAACTGAAGTTACTGACCAGATTTCACATGATATTAATATGAATTCATATTATTGATTTAATACTAATAATATTAATATCATTATTAATAATAATAGTGCTGATCCTTATGAACAATAACTCCTCTTTTGGTCGTGTTCCATTGGTTCGGGTCAGGGCAGTTATTGATCAGTTATGACGCTTTATGAACTGTGTAGTTTAACGTGATCCTTTGTCTCCTGGTTAACGTTCATTAGACTTTCGGTCACTTTCATGTTGAACGTTACAGTTTCAGTCTTTCATGTTAAAAACTATGAAATAATAATAAAAAAAGACTTATTCTACAACTATTACTACTAATACTACTATTACTACTACTGCTCTTACTAACACTACTAGTACTACTCCTCCTAATACTAATACTGCTACTATTACTACTCTTACTACCACTACTAGTACGACTACTACTTCTCTGTGTTGTCTCTCATGTCTGCTCAGTAAATGTGAAACTATAGCCAGCAGCTCGTTAGCTTAGCTTAGCATAAAGACTGGAAACAGAGGGAAACTGCTAGCCTGGCTCAGTCCAAAGGTAATAAAGTCTGAGAAGCAGCTCTTCTACAGTTTATTCAACGTGTAAGTACAGTACATCAGAGAGGTATTACTGTACTTCTTAGGTTATACTTTACCTTTGTATTGATGTTACTGTTATTGTTTTACATCAATAAACCTATTATCATGATCATGTTCCTTTATTTATTCATTTAAAGTCTTCTTTGACATTCTGTATATAAATGAAGCACGGCACCATAAACATGTCATCTCTGAAAATGATGCTTCACAATAACCATTCATATTTAATGAGCCATTTTCTCTGTAACCCTGAATACACAATAAATACACATCTCTCAGCTCTTTGTTCCTGTTTTTATTGTAATATGAGGCATTATCATTTGAAGTCATAACAAAAACATGAAAGAGTTTGTTTTGCTGCTGTTCAGTGCCCTCTGACCTCAGATCTGCTTTAATCTTTAATACCTAATCACACGTAATTCCCACTTGACATGGTAATTGAGGGTGGTCTCTGTAATCCAGCGGTGATGCAGACCTGAGGTCAGATTACAGGATGTGTACAGCAGTTAATCCACCTCTGTGTTTGTACTATACATGTAATCACCTTTATGACTTCAGTGATCTGCTGATAGACGAGAACAACATCATCTCATCCTGTTCGTTTCTCTGTTAAAGAGACGCGACACCAAATCCATTGTTATGTTCAGTGGAACCGATGAGGTCAGAGGTCAGCGTCTGCTTCAGGTGAGCTTTGGTCTGCAGGTGAGCCTTCAGGAAGGTGAGCAGGCGGAAGTGTTTCCCACAGCTGCTGCAGCTGTAGGGTGTCTCCCCGCTGTGGATGCTGCGGTGCCTCATGAAGCTGGTGGCCAGGTTGAAGGTCTTGGAGCAGAGGGTGCACCTGTAGGGTTTCTCTCCGGTGTGGGTGTACCTGTGGTCCTTCAGCTGCTGCTTCATGCCGTAACTCTTCCCGCAGACGTCGCAGTGGAAGGGCTTCTCCCCCGTGTGGCTCCTCTGGTGGATCCTGAGCTGCGACGGGTGGGGGAACTTCTTGCCGCACACCTCGCAGGCGATGACGGCGTCCGCAGCCGCGAGCCCGTCGGCGGGCAGCTCGTGCGAATGCCTGCTGATGATGTGGCTCTTCAGGCAGCGGTACGTCTTACCGCACATGGAGCAGAGCGGCCTATCTCCGGTGTGGACGGCCTGGTGGCTGCGCAGGTTGGCGGCCTGGGTGAAGCCCTTCCCGCAGGTGGAGCACCGGTACGGCCGCACCTCCCGGTGCACCAGCTTGTGCCGCGTCAGGTGGCCAGCGTGGTAGAAGCTCTTCCCGCAGACGTCGCAGACGAACGTCTTGTCGAAGTGGGTGGTCCGGTGCGTCTTCAGCGTGCTGAGGCCGGAGTAGCCTTTACCGCAGACGTCGCAGTGGCAGGTCTTCTCCCCGGTGTGCCGCGCCTTCACGTGCAGGTCGCGGTGGGCCTTGTGGTTGAACCTCTTGGGGCAGTAGTCGCAGGTGTACGGCAGCAGCCCGTGCTCTTTGATCGTGTGCTCGCGGAGTCTCAGGATGCCAGAGAACGCCGCGCCGCACACCGAGCACACCGGGTGGGACTTCCTCTGGTGGTCCGAGAGTCGCTGGCTGGTTGGAAACAGCATCCCACACTGAGAACACCGCCGGTGGCTTTCTGTCGGCTCATCCAGAGATGAGTCGGCGGCTTTTTTACGGCGTTTCCTGCCGCGTGCTGCTGAGACTCCGCCCTCTGTTGGCGGCCGGGCGTACTCGTGGTCGGGGACATCGGCCGGAGGGGGAGGGGGGGAGGAGACGGTTTTATTTTCACCTGCATCAAAAGGAAGAGTTGGTCTGTAATTAGCAGCTGAAATGTTTAAAATGTAACGAATGACGTCGGGTAGACTCACCGTTAGCGTTAGCGTTAGCATGGCCCTGCAGAGACAGCAGCAGACCCGTGGAGTGGACAGCAGCGCTCTACAGAGACAGAAAACAGTGAGCGGTGTTCAGAGGCTTCAGAGGATCTCACTCTGCTCAGGACTCACTCACTGACCCCGTAAACCAGGATGTAGGTGTGTCCTGTGGGGGGGCGCTCACGTCCACCTGGAACACAAACAGATTCAGTTCTTGGTTTTTAAATTATTATTATTGCTTTATTCAGTGTTTAGAGGAGGAGACCTCTGTGGTAAAAACCTCCTGAAGACAACAACTCACCTCCTGGTGTCTCCTTCTGGTCTCCTGGTGTCTCCTTCTGGTCTCCTGGTGTCTCCTTCTGGTCTCCTGGTGTCTCCTTCTGGTCTCCTGGTGTCTCCTTCTGATCTCCTGGTGTCTCCTTCTGGTCTCCTGGTGTCTCCTCCTTCTGGTCTCCTGGTGTCTCCTTCTGGTCTCCTGGTGTCTCCTTCTGATCTCCTGGTGTCTCCTTCTGGTCTCCTGGTGTCTCCTTCAGGTCTCCTGGTGTCTCCTTCTGGTCTCCTGGAGGCTGAACCATCTTCAGGATTTTATCAACAGCTCTGACACACAAACTGTCCACCAGAGCGCCGAGTTTTTCCTGAAAGAAAAGAGGAAAATGGTTTTAAAAGACGTTTACCACGTTCACAGTGTGTAGTAGTACTTTTACTACAGTGTGTAGTAGTACTTTTACTGCAGTAACGTATCAGAGTACTTCTCACTGCTGACAGACACTTTCACGCCTTTAAGTTGAATTGTTTGTAATAATGTTGGATTATAAGTTAGCTAACAAACAGGAACCTCTTAAATTCGAACATCTTAGAGTTTGGTGGAACTAACGACACGAGGGCCGAGTGTGAATTATTTTATTAATTAATTTTAATAATTTAATTATTATTATTTATTTGTTTACAGCTAATTTAACAGTTAACTTCAAACTGACATTTCTTAAATTATGATATTTTTAATGAAGTTTGGTAAACAGTTAACCTAACGACCAATAGAGTCGTAAACACCGGAAACAGTTAACCTAAAGTTAGCCGTTAGCTACAGTTAGCGCAGTTAGCTTGCCTCGGTTTCTGGACGTGGTTTCCTCAGAGAGACTGTAAATATCTCCGTCCTCAGCGCCTGCAGCAGGTCGTTCACGATGAGTGTGAGTTCACTTCTAAAAGTGATCAAATCCGACATGTTTAACAATTCCTGCACTTACCAGCCGGCTAGCTTAGCAAAAAAACACAACGGCTGGAGCCAACGGTGCGGATAAAGGAAGTGACGTAGTTGTCTCCTCCAACGGCTAATGGCCTACAAATTAAAAGCACTGGCTTTTTTTGAATCGTCACATACATAAAAGTTGATCTGTATTAACTCAAAAACTACGCGTTTAAACTGCTACAGACTACAACATACAAATACAAGTGTTTGGGTTTTATAACAGTATTTTTTTTAAACAAGATTAAAAGATTTAATATCTTTATAGTTATTTTATTTGGTAAAGTTGTGGTGCTGAAGTATGGAGGACTAAAGCTGTCATTATAATAAACAAATAAATAACTCAATAAATACAATAACAAAGAAATACATGTAGCATTATTCTTACAAGAACATGAAACATATTTTATGTATTTTTAAACACCAGCATGTCGATAAAACATGTTTCTAATAATTAGTCTGATTAATGCTCAGTGTTTGTGCTCTGTCGAAAAATCCCAGTGATTCCAAAAATACTTTGTTTATTCATCAATCATCTGCTGTACATACATGTTACTGATGATAGTGACAATAATAATAATAATAATAATAATAACCTTTTAAAATAGGACATTTAAATGACATTCATTCACAGAGCTTCAGACAGTCAAACTATAAACACAACAGGAATAAAACATGAAATAGCCTCTTATTCTTTCAACAACACGGATATAAAACATACTCTCAGTACAATACAATAATAAACACTGACATCCTCCACTGTTAGTCCGGTGCTGAGTCGATGTGACGGCGGCGTAACATTAGTTATCATCAAATATTAGCTAAAGGCTAATATGTTAGCATGCTAACCCCAGGGTAGCATTTCAATGATATATATTTTATTTCTCCTTAATGTCTGTTCTCTCATTGGCTCCTCTCTTAGTGAACAGCCAATCAGATCTCTGTGTTCGTCTCCGACCTTCAGCTGCGATCGTCTGATTCGCTACCGCTGTGCCGCCGCAGTGAGGAGGCGGGCCTTATCGAGCTCCCGACCTCCTGCTGCTGTTTGGAGGAGCTGGACAGGTCGATGGCCACCTCCTCCTCCGTCTCCTCCTCCTCCTCCATCACCAGCAGCTCCTCCTGCTCCTCCCGAGTCTCGTGATGAGCCTCCCGAGTCTCGACGCTGCGTCGCACCGAGGAGTCGCAGAACGAGTCGGAGCGAGTCGAGTCCGACTCCCGAGGACTCGGACACTTTTTGGTTATTTCTTGAGACTTCTTGTGCATTCCTGTGAGGACAGAGACAGAGATTCAGTCCAGTCGGCACCATTTATATACATCTGTATTAATATATATACAGTATATGAATATATAGATATTCATATATATAAAGATGAATATATGTGTATATT